ACAGACCCCCCCCCCCCCATGCTTTGCTGGTTAAACTGTTAATAGTTAGCCACATTGCACAAAGAAAAAGACTGTAAAATGTAAAAGTATACACCACCGTTTAAAAGTTTGGGTTTGGTACGATTTTTTAAATGTGCATTTATTTGATCTAAAATACTGTAAAAATTGTGAAATATTATTATAATCTAAAACAGCTGTTTTCTATGGGAATATCTGTTAAACTGTAATTTATTTCTGTGATGCGCAGCTGTATTTTCAGCATCATTACTCCAGTCTTCAGTGTCACATGATCTTCAGAAATCATTCTAATATTCTGCTCAAGAAACATTTATTATTATAATCAATGTTGAAAACAGAATATTTTTGTGGAAACTGTGATGCATTTTATTTTTCAGGATTTACAGATGAACAGAAAGTTCAAAAGAACAGCATTGATTTGAAATAGAAATCTTTTGTTACATTATAAATGTCTTTACTGTCACTTTTTGATTAATTTAAAGTGTCCTTGATGAATAAAAGCAGTATAAGTTTAGTATCTTTGAGATACTATTATAGTTTTGAATAACATTTTTTAATTAATAATTAGTTTTTAGTTTGAAATTTTTTGTTTTTATATTAATTTTAGTTTTTTTGTGTTTTTGTAATTTTAATTTTTATTAATGTATGTTTAATTAATATATTAATTATTATTAATGTATCAGGTTAAACTAAATTAATAGTAGAAATGTTGCCTTGGCAACTAGCTAAAATAAAACAAGTTTTTAAAATATGTTATTTTAGTATGTTTAGTATATTTCAGTTGAACTTTATTTTATATTTCGAGTAAATTTACCTTTTTATGGTAGCTCAAATAAAATAAGTTTGTTTTATTTTAGTATATTTAACATATTTATATAATATTTTTATTTAGTTTATTTTATTTCAAGTAATGAAAATGTTTCTTTTAATGGTTTTTATGATCGCTGAAATAAAATAAGCTTTTTAAAAGATCTTATTTTAGTTTATTTAGTGTATTTTAGCTAAAGTTTATTTTATTTCAAGAAATGAAACTTTTTTGAGGATTAACTATAAAAACCCTGAATAAAAATACAAATTTCTTTAAAAAAAAACAAAAAAAACTTTTGAACAATATATCTTCTAAAAGTGCATTTTTTTATGTGTTTAGTGGTACGTTAGCATATAGATGAACTCAAAATTATGGATGTGTGCTAAAAGAACTCCCACTATGATTTCATGTGGTCTACAAAGCTCAGTGACAGACATGACAAAAGCACAGCCGTTTCAGACAGAAATGAGTGGACATGCAGAGCTTTACCTGGATAGTAGGAGTTTGGCACGGCGGTGCTCAGTGTGTTAGTCTTCAGGGTAAACGATGACGGCGAGGAGACAGCTTTCAGAAGAAGAAAGCAGGCAAGATGTGACGAGTAAGCAAATAAAGAGCACATCTGGATTCTTAAAACACCAACAACCATTTAAATGTGACTTACATTTCTATATGCATCAAATATGTCACCGTACACTTACTAAAATGAGCTTTATTTGTATTTTGATATAATTTTAACCTTAAAAACTTCTCTTCTCTGCATCAGTGTTACTTTAGTATACTATTGATATACCATTATGCCATGTACTATTGTAGCGTTTGCTAACATTTTGAATTTGATTTTATTTATATATTTTCTGTTTTCATTTTAATTGCAGTTAAAAGTTTTAGTCATGTTTTTGTCATGTTTTTAGAATATTTAATTGTAGTTATTTTAGTATACCACTGATACACTATTAAGCTTTTGTAAATATTTTGAATTAGAGTTTATTTTTATATGTTCTGTGTCCACTTTAATTTTATTTACAATTTTAGAAATTTAGATAATTTTAAATAATTTTAAAAAATAAAATTTCAATAATTTTAGAAACATTGTCTTTTTTTTTTTAAATATGTCTGTCTTTATATTCCTAAAATATGTCCAATATGTCTTTATTTTTATATTTTCTAAAAATTGTAATGTTAGTAAAAATGTAGCAATTTTGTTATGTTTGTCATTTTTATTCATTTTTTAAATGTCTATATATTTTTTTATTAAGTTTTAGCTTTATATTTTTTAGTATACTACTAATATGCTATTAAAGTGTTTATTAATATTTTTAATTAATTTTACATTTTTAATTTTAATTTTAAGGTTTTAGTAATTTTGTTGTGTATTTCTGTAATTTTTATTTATTTATTTTTTTATATATATATCTATACAGTTTTTATTAAGTTTTAGTATTATATTTTTTAGTATACTACTAATATGCTATTAAAGTTTTTATTAATATTTTTAATTAATTTTACATTTTTAATTTTAATTTTAAGGTTTTAGTAATTTTGTTGTGTATTTCTGTAATTTTTATTTATTTGTTTTTTTTATATATATCTATACAGTTTTTATTAAGTTTTAGTTTTATATTTTTTAGTATACTACTAATATGTTATTAAAGTTTTGAATAATATTTTTAATTAATTTAACTTTTTTTATTTTAATTTTAAGGTTTTAGTAATTGTGTTGTGTATTTCTGTCATTTTTATTAATTTTTTTTTTTTCTATATATCTATACAGTTTTTTATTGAGTTCTAGTTTTTAGTTTTAGATGATTTAGTTTTAGTTATTTTAGTACTTCAACTTAAACTAAATGAAAATGAGAAATGTTGCTTTGGCAACTAGCTATAAAAATATAATTAAAATTACTTAATTTCAGCTAACATTTATTTTATTTCAAGTAATGATTTTTATGGTTTTGTTTTGTTTTAATTAACAATATTAACCCTGTCCCGCTCTGACACGACATTAACTTGGCCGTGTTTTCATGCAGACTCGTTAGTGTTCAGCACACACGTTCGTTCTGGCTGTATGAGAATAATAAAGCGTCTGTCAATCACAGACAGCAGAAGAAGGTCACGCTAAGAGCCTGTCTTTATTTATTTATCCCTGTTTGTGGCCACTTCACAGAGCCACACGTCCATCACGGCGAGAGGAAGCCGAGGGACACGCGTGAAATATTAAACTACACCGTCATGTGATCAAAGAAGCTGTCGTTTAACTCAATATTTCACATTCACCGTGAGCAGCACGGCGAGAGAATCTTGTCTCATAATCATAATAACGACTCATTTGAGCTGAATTGAATCTGGTGATGCGATAAATGAGGATGGAATTTACTTTTGATTTAATTTGGCAAAATTTGGATGAATAAATCAAAAGTAGGGATGAACACTTCATTGATTCGCGATTCATTGATTGACTATTATGACGTTAGACGTTAAGATGTCCGCATCAAAAGAAATGTACAAAAGTGGTTTTATGTCCATAGAAAGCACATTAAATGTAAGTAAAGTGTCTACTTTTAAGATAGTTTTTGGAGAATAAAATGTCACAATTTGGTGGAAATAATGTTACATAGTCATTCGGTGTAACACAATATTTATGTAAAAATTCAAACAACATGCTTATTCTGACATGTACATATTAAAATATATAAAAGAATTAGAGAGCATGTTAAATTTGATTGTGTTTTAAATGAGTAAAAAATTCTTACTGACAAATGGGCAAAACCTAGGATAGTGGCAACTTTTAAACATGTAAAATTACAACTAATTAGTATTTGGGGTGAAAGTAATTAGTCTTTTAATGTGTCATAAATTGATTTTTGTTGTAAATATGCCTGAGAAGATTGTTACACTGAATGACATTTTAGTGGGTGTCTTCTGTAAATCAGGGAAAAATTTATTATATTTATTTTTTGCTCAGAAAAACAAACACAAAATTGCAATTAAATTAAACAGAAAATTTTTAATTTTGGGGGGGATGGTTGTAGTAAGCCATTTTTTAAATCGAAGGGTATAATGAATAAGACTAGGCCTGGCTGGAGTAAATATGTAGCTGAATATCAGGCTGAAGCCCGGGAAGCTTTTAAATGATGGGAAAACTCATCAGTCTTTATGTGCTTCATTGATGCATCTAAAGCTTATGATCGGGTTAACCATGCAAAGTTCTTTTTTAAAATGAGACAAAGAGGGGTGCCAGAATACATTGTGAGAATCCTGGTTTATTGCTATGCCCACCAGATGATGCGAGTAAAATGGGGCAATAAAGTCTCTGCCCCTTTTGGGGTTAGTAATGGCGTGAGACAAGGAGGGATTTTGTCCCCAATTCTGTTTAATCTTTACATGGATGATCTATCTGAATGCTTGAATGCTTGTAAAACTGGGTGTATGATTGGGAATATTCTAGTGAATCATATTATGTATGCAGATGATCTTGTGGTGTTTAGTCCTAGCAGTGCTGGTCTTCAACAGCTTTTAACTATGTGTTCTGATTATGGTCTTGAACATGATATTTTATATAATCCTGATAAGAGTGTGGTTATGATTTGCAGAACTGAGGAGGATAAAAGTATAACATTTCCAGTTTTCAAGTTGTCTAATAAGAGTCTCACTGTGTGTGCAAAAGTAAAATACCTTGGACATTTCATCACTGAACGCATGACAGACGATGAGGATATTTAAAGGCAACGCCGTATGATTTATATGCAGGCGAATATACTTTTACGTAAGTTTCGTTTCTGTTCAGATGAGGTGAAGGTGTCACATATGTACAACACTTTATACTGCTCATCCGTGGTTCAACTATAGAACATCTAGTTTACAGAAGCTGCAAGTAGCTTATAATGATGCAATGAGAATTTTACTAAAGAGACCTAGATGGCATAGTGCAAGTGAAATGTTTGTGAGTGCAAGAGTAATCACTTTTAAAGCACTGTTACGAAATCTTATGTATAGATTTATCTGCTGGCTAAATGCTTCAAAAAATGAGATTATTGTGGGTCTATCAAATATAAGGGTTAGTACTACACGGTATCAGTCAAAGCTGTGGAGACATTGGTATTGTTGTATTTTGTAACTTTTTATTGTGTGTGGTAGATGCTGTGGGTTGTATATGTTGTCCTATTGTCTTGTTTTTTTTTTTATTTGGACCTTGAGTCTGTAATAAAGATTGACTGATTGATTGATAGGGTGCTACTTATTTATGGTAGTTTATTTTTGAACCAGACTACATCTGAAATCAATCTTCAGCAGCTGATGCAAAACCTGCTAGAGAATATCTGAGGATAAACACGTAAAGTGAAAGGAGAAGAGAAGAGCTCTGATTGGCTGAGTGAAGCAGGTGGGCGGGACAGACATGAGCTGAGCTCTGATTGGCTGTGTGAAGCAGGTGGGCGGGACAGACCTGAGCTGAGCTCTGATTGGCTGAGTGAAGCAGGTGGGCGGGACAGACAGATTCTAAGTGTCAAATCTCATTCATGTTCATGTTTAATTCATATAAGACACATCAGATCACTTTCAGATACATTTTTTGGGTGTTTCTGACATTTGGCTGCAGACTCTCTGATATGGTCTTCAGTGTTTGTAAGGACAGGAGTGCGAGTGAATGCTGGTTTCTGGGTGAACTATGGTGTGATGCTCAGAGACTCACTGCGTCCATTGAGGTTGTGTGTGTCCATGAATGAAATGGCCTCGTCGCAGCTGGTGCCCTGCTCAGCGTAGCTCTTGTCCATAGAGTTCACCATCACCGTCATCTCCTGCCTCGTGCTGCTCAGCGTCTCCTTGCGCTTCTTCGCCAGTTTCCTTCAGAAAAACACACACAGATCACTGTCTGCAGTACTCTGAGAAGACTGTTGCTTCCCAGATAGCACATGCACGTCTGCAAGAGGTCTGTTAAAGATCGCTTCATCTGGAAAGCATCCGCTGTGTACAAACATCTGACAGACGTCTGCAAGATGCATGCATTCTAAATCATAAACATCTTAACGACATCTTCTAAACGTCTATTTGACATCTGATAGGAAACGTCCTATAGACGTATCGCAGATGAGCAAACACTCTAAAAAATACGTCTAGCAGACGTCAAACAGACGTCTCTGTAATGTACGTGTGCTATCGGTGTTCTCTGTGTACGAGCGTAAGCCATGAGCGGAGAAACCTGCTGCATTCATGTAGGGAGAAAAAATTAAATAAAAATCGCACAATTTAGGCAAAATTTTTGTGACTATATATCTATATAATTAATTATTAGCATTATTATTGCTAAATAAAAATATAACACAAAATAAGAAATATTATTATTGTAATATTTCACTATTGTAACATAAAATAAAAAAGCATCTAGGGAAAAAAATAATAATTTTCCTTTACAGAAAACTGTAAAAAAACAACAACAACAACAAACTTACAGCGGCACAATTTTGCAATTTTTTTGTGATTTCATATCAACGTATACTATCATTATTTTTTTATTATTATGAATATTGTATGATTTTATTGTAAAATAAAAATATTAAATATTTCAGAAAAAATTATAATGACAATATTTTTACTTTATAGAAAATGCCAAAAATACAGCTGCACAATTTAGCAAAAAGTTTTGTGATTTTATATCAATACAACTAATTACTTTATTAATAATAATAATAAATAAATAAATGAAAATGGTGAACAAAATAAGAAATAGTACTATTGTAATTTCACTATAAAATAAAAAAAAAATCAAGTATTTAAGAAAAAATATATTTTACATAAAACTGTAAAAAATAAAAATTACAGCAACACAATTTAGCAATAATTTTTGAGAGCAATATAACCAACCACTGTCATTATTATCACTAAATACAAATATTAAACAAAATAAGAAGTTACTATTGGAATATTTCACTAAAATGTATTTATTAATTTAATCACTCTGAAACATGCATCGCATATACATCATGCATATTTCATTAAATCACAGCCTTTGCAATTTGACAGTCACACTAAGCCATATCACAATTTCAGGTTTTAATTGAGTTTCAGTTTTAATCGTAAGCCCTGGTGGATCGTTCTTTATCAAAGAAGGTGAATAAGACAGTTGCTCAAAAGCACCCAGCATGAGTGTGTTTCTGTCATTTTCATCCTCGAGCTCGATGAGGACGGCGATCCCATTAAACAGCGAACAGCAGCAGCGCTCCGAGTGGAGATTTCACTCACTAATGCACACTCCTGAGAGCGTCTGTCACGCCGAACAGAACCGACTCCAGCAAGCGCTTGCTTGGCCTCTGGACTTCAGCTGCTCAAACACTCGTCTCGCTCTCTGCAGCTTTAATTAATGGAGGCTGCGAGGCTGGATGTGCGTCTTTGGAGATGATGACACTCAGTCAGGGGAGGCTGATGCAATATTAGTTTGTATTTGGGTTAACACTGCTCAGGTAACAGTGAAAACAGACCATCTCTACTGAATCACACATATATTATATATAAATACAGTATATATATATATATATATATGTACAGATACAAGCTGCAGAAACACTGCTGACACTGTAGCTCTGCTGAGACATCTATCCATCCATCTATCCATCTATCTATCTATCTATATTTATAAAAAAAATTATACTGTATATATTTTTAAAGGGGTCCTATTATGCTTTTTCACTTTTTTAATTTTAGTCAGTGTGTAGTGTGTATGTTTGGGCATAAAAAAGATCTAGAAAGTTACAAATCTCAAAGTCCACTCCAAAGGGAGATATTTCGTTTTTTAATAAAAATCCCTTTTCAAGAACTACAACGAACGGCTCGTTTGGACTACAGCGTTGGTTTTCCGGGGTTTGTGATATCACAAAGCGGCTCATTGGAATATCATTACAAATAATTCCCGCCTACAGAAATGGGAATGGTTGGGGGGTGGGGAGGGGCGAGGTTGTGGTTAGAACGCTTGGTTGAGTGCATCAGACGAGACGACGAAGAAGAAGTGCTGCTGCAGAGATCAGAGAAAACGAAGAAGAAAAAGCTGCTGTGCTGTAGCGTTTTGGAATGAGGCGGACACGCACTGGCCGAGAAGCGTAGCGC